TCTATTTTCTATTTCTTATTTCTCAAAATTAATAGATTGATAATGAAGGAGGATGATTACAATAAACAGCTAGGTTGTTAGATATTTATAATTTCAATTCGGCGAATGTAAGTAAGTCGTAGAGCTACATACAAAACTGACAATTATTTATTAAATTAAATTTATTTATTTTAAAAATAACTGCGCGCGATAACATTCAGACTTTTAATACAATCAGTCTGAAACGCTAATAATATCCCCTAAATTAAATTAGAAAGAAAAAAAGAAGGAAAGATCTTTTTTTCTAATCTATAATTTTTTCTTTCTAATCTAAAGATGGAATCACATAATGTTCGATTTCTTGAATGATATGCATGCACACATGCATACACATATGCATGCTTCTATACTTGGTTTGATGCATACAGTCTAACGTTTGATAAATAACTATGAAATTAGCAATTATTTTTTTTGATTGCTGCATGCAAGGAAATAAACTATGAAGTAATAAATATAAAAATTATGTATATGTAGCATGCAGCGCTCAATGCATGAATGAATTCTAGCATATGTACAATGTACATTAGAGCAGGTATGCTATTATTCAAGAAATTGAGCATCATGTGATTCTTAATATAGAAGGGATTATTAGCGTTTCAGATTGTATTTTGAAAGTCTGAATGTTATCGACGCGCAATCATTTTTTAAATAAATTTGATTTAATAAAGAATGTATGATGTATTATTTGAGACACCTAAATTTGACGATTATTTATTTCATTTATGACTTATGATTTTTGTAGTTGATCATTTAATGAACATTCTCTCTTCTAAGCCATAAATACTTGTGATGTAATATAATTTATTTTTGTAACATTTCTGTTAATAAAATTTGTTAAATGAATTGCAAAGTGTTAAACAATATAATATGTATAATTTGTATAAAATATCTTTCTAGTTCCATTAGATGTCATCCTTTACAAATATTATTTGATTTATTAGATTGTAAATTATAATTATAAATTATTGTATCATATTAATTTATCGAGAAAATTCGGATATAACATACTTTTCGAGATCTAGTATTTATTTGTGTTATCAGCAGTTATGTTTAAGCAGATTTTTTTTGTATCTTCTAAAGTTTTCGCAACTATTCTATCCCATTTTTCAGGTTCGTTTTTCTGAAACCACTCAATACCTGTTTCAATTATTATTTTTTGCTTTTTAGTACATTTCTTGCATTTAATTTGGAAAGCTTCACTGAATATTCCTAAAATCAAGAAGATTTATATATATTTATTTTAGTAATTAATTTCGTTTCTGATATTAATAAGTTAATTAATACGTTTATGCAATTTAATTGCGACAGAGAATTAAAGCATAAGAAATTCAGAAAACCTTTTTCATTTCTGCTGCATTCCTTTTTTGTATGACAAATTAATTTAGAAGCAAATTTGTTTTTGTAAAATATTTGTCGCGTACGTCATTGCTTCAATTTTTGCTGAACTTTTTTCAATTCTTAAAAATTATATATGTTTATAATTAAATAATTTTTATTAAAATAAAGCTTGTAAGTAAATAGAGGATTTTTTGTTTATTCCTGATGTTCAGTTCGTCAGAAGAATTTTTTATTTGGCTTTGTAAGTGGTTTGCAAACTATATAAATATCTCTACGTTAAAAAAATCAATTTTGTTTTAACTAAAGAATTCGTCATCAAATAAAAAAAATAATTTGATAATAGTACAGAAATACCTGTGAAAAATCTCTACTGTGGTGTCTTACATGGTCCTGTTTCCATAAAGCAATTGTAATAGTCTTCTATATTAAATCTTTATCATTAAGAACTCTTTGAATATCGATATTATCGAATTCATCAGAGTAAATCTTCTCTTCTGCAAGAACGCATATTAGTATGTTCATTATAATAATGATCAACGCGACACTTAATCGAGCCATTGCTTCACAGTTATAAACATTATGATATTTGAGATATTATTAAATGGTCGCAATAAACCATATATTTCACTTTATATAGATTTTATATAATAAACAAAACTTGTATTACGTAAGATATATGCAGAAATATAATAAAACTTGATATATACGTTTAATTATGAATATTGGAAACACATAAATTATGTATATTTTAGGAGAAGTATATGACTTTTTATTTTCAATGATTTGGTTAATTTAAAAATAACTTTTTTTAGCAAAACAAATTTTGAATTACGCGTCAATAAATTTTGCGTTATAAGTAAATAAAAATAAAAATTTTGTCTTTAAATTTTAAAAAGCAAAATACATTTCATAATTTTATCACGTTATATTAGGTGTACAAAAAAGTTCTGAGCTTTAGATTTGATACAACCGAAATAACAATTTAAATTTTATATATCTTCCCGCCCTTTTGTTTTGTGGGGTTTTAAAACAGTAACATTTAACCTCCTGAAATGCGATACGGTTTGGCGTTTGATGCACATAACCTCAAAAATCAGTAGTGTTCACGATGGCAATTACAAAAGAGCATATTCGATTTTCCATCCACTTCGCGTTTCATCTGAAGAAAAATGCTGCTGAAGCCACTGAAATGATTTGTGCTGCATATGGAGAGAACGCTGTAAGTCATGCAACATGCAAAAGGTGGTATCAAAAGTTTCGCCAAGGAGATTTCAGTCTTAAAGATGAATCGCGTGCTGGACGCCCTGAAAAGATTGAAACGGACGAATTGCAAGCACTGCTGGATATAAACTCTGCGCAAACTGAAAAGGAGCTTATTTCGAAAAGGAGAATATTTCGCTGATTAATATTTTTTCGTTTGTTTTTAAATAAAGATTGAATTTTACAAAAAAAAGCTCAGAACTTTTTTGTACACCTAATAATTACATGTATGTAAAAACATTTTATTATTGGCACGCTCCGCGTCGATTTTAAGTGATTTGATCATTTTTTATCACATCACGAGACATCGATGATTCACAATATTTTCATTTGATAAATAATGTGTATATCAACAAAAAAATTTTTTAAATTAAAAAATTAATATTATAAAAAGAAGGCTCAATGTATTAATATTGTATCACGTATCATAACTATGTATCTACAAATGATATTAGAAATTATTATTTTATAATTACTTTTTTTTTGTAATTAAGATATCAAACAGTTTGAATAAAAAATCTGAGGTACCAATATTTAATTTACGCTTATCAATTTTCTTTTCTTAAAAACTGGAGATTTTATTTATCTTCGTAACATCGATTGCTACTTTAAAAATTGTTATTATATTGTAATGTGTTTTTTAAAAAAGACGTTAAAAAACATTAAATGTTTACAGTCGAAGAATTGGCAACCATGCTTACTTTGAACAGAATATATTAAGATTTATTAATGCCTTACATATGTTTTTAGAATTTAAGATTGCTTATAAATATTTTAAATCAGATTTATTTATTATGTATGTAAATATTCATGCGTTATGCATAAAAAATATCTAATAGAGGTAATAAGTATAGGCTGCGCATTTCAATTAGTCGGTTATTATTATCGGTTTTAAAAGAGAGAAGTAGATTGATGCAATTGGTCTCTCTCTCTCTCTCTCTCTCTCTCTCTCTCTCTCTCTCTGTCTTTCTCTCTTTAAAATAATAATGGAAACACACACATAAGTTGAATTGATCTCTTTGTCGCCTTCTTTATTGCATTTGCTACTTGAAGCCAATTGAAAAGAAAAATTTTGAACAAAAATTGGCTTTGACTGACGATAACTCCATGAAAAATCTTCGTAGAATAATAAATTTTTTTTTAAATTGTAGCGTAAAATCTCAACTTTAAGATACTTTGACGTGATTTTACGTTTACTGCATCCCTATCACTATACTTTTCAAAATATAAAGATATGTTTGTCATATTAAAAAGTTTGATGGAATACTTTCTAAAATTTTTTTGGAAAATGCTGTTTGCAGCAGCATAAAGTTCGAATCTTCCCCTTTAATTAAAAAAAATGCAAGTTGCTGCAATTTTTTTTAATTAAAAAGCTGTAAAATTACAACATTTTAAAGTAAGCTTTGCATTTTTGTCATATACTACTGACATTAATATTATCATTACATTACCATTTACAGTATATGTACTCTTTACTTTTTATTATAAGAAAATTTATCGAAATGATATTTATGCTCAATTTCAAGGTTTCTACAGAAAAATTGTCAGGATATTGTCTTATTTTTAAGATTTCAGGATTATAACTTTTCGAGACGTAGTTTTCAATTTTTGGGATTAAAATTTTTTTGGACTTTGCACATTCTATTTTTTAAAGATGTAATATAAATAAAAAACGTAATATGAACAATGTAAGCGTTTTGTATCTTAGCTGTTAAATACTACTACATAATTCATTTTTTAATTAATCGAGGTTGGAAAAAGTAATATTGTTTTCTAAAAAATTTTAGATTGAAAATGGCTATAAACACGACTTTGCATATTTATAATTTCAATTTCTAACAAATTTAGAGCACCTATGTAAGTAAAATTTTCACGATAAAGGAGTAACGATTATATGTATAACTATATAAATAATTTTACAGTAAACATTGTTTACGATATCTTATTTTTAAAAATGCTTCTTTATTCTAGAATTGATTGTAGTATATACCATTTATTTATTTATAATATGTTTCTATTAAAATAATATCTACAAATTGTATGTGTGTGCGCATACTGTGCATGTTAGTTAAAATAATTTATACAAAATGGTTCTTTAATCCCACAATGGTTCTTTAATTAGATGATATCTTTCGCAGAATATTATTTAAATTATCAGATTGTGTGTGTGTATGTTGTGTGTGTATACTACATGTTATTATATTATATTTTAATTAATTAGACAAATTTGAATATAGTATGTATTGGCAGATTTATTATCCATCTGTGTTGCTAGCAGCTTTTTTCTTCATTTTCTCTACAGTTTTCGCAACTATTAATTTCCATGTCTCGGGTTCATTCGTTACAAACCAGTTGGTTACCATGTCCAAATTTTCTATTTGTTTTTTAGTACATTTTCTGCATTTAGTTTGGAAAGCTTCGCTGAACATGTCTGAAACCAATTAAGAATACATATTTATATTTATTTACTTTAGAAATTAATTTTATCTCAATTTATAAATGTACAGAATTTAAATACTGAGGATGCACCGGATATTTGGGAAATATCCGATATCCGGTATTTTTTACTATCCGGTTAGATAGCTAAATATCATTAGTATTCGATAATATATCTAACTGAAATTTTATATTAAAAGTTTTTAATACAGATTTTTATTCTTTTCAGCTGAACTTCTTGCACAGTTTATCTTTCCTCTTTTTCTTTTCACGTTGGGAAGATAAAGAGAATTATTATCGCTATTTTTTGCATATTTTTTTTGGAAACCTCCAGATATTCAAATATCCATGGAATCCGGTCAGATAATTAATATTTGGTCGGATAATTAGTTCTGCCGGATATCCGATTGGATATCGAATATTTGAAAAAAATGTCACCAAATACCCGATATCCAATATCTGATAATTTTACAATCTGGTGCATCCCTATTAAATAGAAAATTTAAGTATAACATATATTTAAAAATATCGATATTTTTGTTCAAGAACATAACTATAAAAAAACAAGATAAAAATCAATTTATCTTGCATGTCTCTATAAAACCAATTATTCATTTAAAAATTAACTTCAAACGATGAGAATATTTAATTGTCGAATGTAGCCCTTGCATACAGAGTTTTTCGGCTATATTATTGATGTATAATACTTTTGAGGCTTTCACGGATGTTCTCTTCAGAAGTGCCAAAAGGTTGTCGAGTTATTGCCCTGTTTTTATCAATACGCACCTCGCCCTGATAAAGTGAATGGCAAGGTTCGCGAATTCTACGTTGCCATAGCAATGGATCACAACATGGTAATAATCAGTAAACCCTTTGACACCTCTATTGTATTATTTTTATACAATAAATAAATTAATTAGAAGTAAGTTTGTTTTATCAAATATTGGAAATGTATATGTCATTCTTCTAACTTTTATAGAACTCTTTTCAATTCTGAAAAATTGTATATATAATTGACACGGACTGATTGTCTAACGACTATTATCAATAATAAAGATCGTTGCTCTTTTAAAATAATGATTTTGAATAAAATAAACGTACTTTTGAATAAACCAATGCGAGTTACAAATTTAAATTTAGTTTAATTTCTGATTTAATAAGAATAATATAACTGTTCTTTTATATTACAATTTTTATATAGAACTTAATGATTATATCCAGATAGCACGCGACATCCATTGGACATCCAATGGACATCCAATGGACATCCAATGGACATGTGCTGTCTAGGTACAGCTGTCAAGATAAGATATTCACAATGTTTGAATTGTGCAATCGTTTAACGTTTATTATGTGTTTGTTAGGTATCTATTTCACTTAATTTGATAATTCACTGAAGATGGTCTGAAATGTTCGTATTAAGTATGAATTCAAGGAAGATCTAGGTATGTGTAATATAAAGTTATATTATATTATTATATTATATTACATACGCTAATAGCCATTCTACAATAAGCCATTAATCATAAATCAGAAGTTAGAAGTTGAAAATTGATTAATCATAGTCATCAAGTTTTAGTTTCTGACTTCTGATTTATAACTAATGGCTTATTATAGAAGACCCATTACAATGACTTCATTACTATTAATGACTGCATTGTGCTTTCAGTTTGCAATTATTGTATCACATTAACATATAATTGAGCAACTCAAAATTTTATTAAAATAAAGTTTTAAAGTACATAAAGAATTTTATTTTGTCATTTGTTTTCTCTTCTGACGCCTAATTTGTCAAAAGAATCTCTTATTTAAAATCGTAAATCATTTGAAAACTACAAATACGTTGACGTTACCATTAAGGAAACTTCGAATTTGTTTTAATTAAAAAATCCGTCATAAAAGAAAATAGAAACAAAATTTGATAATTATATAAATATGTTACCTGTTAAATTCTGTTGTTCTGGTGACTTGCACGGTGCTATTTCCATAAAGCAATTATAATATTCTTTTCGTAACTCCTTATTTTGAATAATAGCTTGTATATCAACGTGATCATATTGATCAGAATAGCGCTCTTCTTCTGCAAGAACGCACATTACTACATACATAGCAATGATCAACACAATACGACTTAATTGAGACATGGTATCAGTTATGATGCTTGAGATATTTACTAGTTTACGAGAGAGGATCATAAGTACATTTCATTTTATATAAAGCTTACTTAATAAAAAACGAATTATAGACGTAAAATATATGCAAAATATGTGTGATATAAGTAAACATGATGATATAAGTAAATTATGTTTTACTAGAAAATATTGAAGAAACTAATTGCATAATGTGAACAAGGTTTCTATTTTTTAATACTTGTGTGTTGTGTGTGTGTGTTGTAACTAGTAATTCTACTCTAATAAATCTTCTTTATTAAGATAGAGAAAACGGCTAATATGAATCAAAGATGCAGATGATATAGCGCAATAAATAAAATGTGCAAAAATTATAACATAAAATAAATACTTTAATTAATGTCTGTTCTTTATTTGAACTATCTTCAGAATATTCAAAAAATAAAGATAAAGGTAACAGAACGTCCAAGCATAAATTAAATATCTATAGACATGACACCATGTTTATCTTATTTTTTACTTTTAAAAATTTTTCTTTTTAAGTATAAATTATTTTTTTTATTATTATCTCAACGAATTTTATATATATATAACTTAACGAGTCTATTGTTGTTATGCATTTTTGTTAATTGTAGATCTCAAGATGAGATCCACAATTTTGGTTCTATAACTCAGGTTCTTTGCAAATTACTGATATTTTATCATACTTTATTAGGACAAGTTTCTTTGTATTACAGTAATATTCATGCTTGAGATTTGAACTTTTTGGTCAATATTCCAAATTTTCGCATTTCCTTAACCAAGGAGTTCTCACTCTTGGGATCGACAATAAAATCTCCTCCTTTTCAATTTATGCTTGGATGTTCCGTCATCTTTATCTTTACTTTTTGAATTCTGAAGATGGTTCAAATAAAGAACCAAAACGTTAATTGAAGTATTTATGTTATGTTTTAATTTTTGCATATTTATGCATTTTTATTGCGTTGTGATTCCTTGACTCGTATTAGTCATTTTTTTCTAATTTTATGAATTTTTGGGAATCCGAATTAATATTAAGATTATAATAATAAATAGAAAGTTAAAGGGCGAATAAAAGAACGTATATATCGAATTTTTGTGATATGAGAAGTTGGGTGCGATTATTTGAACAGAGGCAAGATAAAACTCATAAAATTAAATACCAAGAATTTAGCTACGACATACCAAACACGCACCTAAATTATGGACAATTTTATACGGAAAACATCAATTATTTAATTTAAAAAATTAATATACAATTTAGAATAGTTGTAAAAAATCAATATGAGACAAACACGATAAATGGCCGCATAAAAACAATATTAATAACTTGATCTGGTAAAACGCCGAGACACGTATGTTTTTTTTACATGTATTTTCAGTCTCTCTTTGAATTTCTTATGGGAGGGAACTTGAGTGTACAACATAAAATAAACATTTCATAATCGTTAAACAAACGTTTAAAAAATATAGTTTTAAACCATTATTTTAAATAAACAATTAATATAAAATAAACATTTAAAATACTTAACAAAGTGTTTAATAAATGTTACAAAAATCTTTATTGACATCGTTTTTTACATGAATAAATCATAAAAAATAAATATTTAAAAAGTATTAAATAATTGTTTCAGAGTTGTTTTTTAGAAATCATTAGTTTAAATAAAAATTTCATGAAAAAAAGATCAAATAAACGTTTTATTTATAAATAAATATTTTTTCCAAAATGAGTTGAAGAAATAAATAATTAATTAAAAAAATATTTCAAAGATATTTAAAAAACATTGTCTGTGCTGATTGCAAAATTATAAATATCATACTTATCTGATACACGCTAATTCAAAGTATTAATGAAAATATTTCTTATTGAAAAATAATTTATAAAACCAACACAATATAATTGCATTTAATTACACGGAGAGTGTGTAATCGAATAATATGAAATAAATGTAAAATAAATGTTATATTAATCATATTACTTAAAATAATCAATTAAAATAAAATAAATAAAATAATGTTTTTTTTAATCATTATTTTAAATGAATAAATAATCTAAAATAACTATTTAATAATCGTTAAATAAATAGCAATCTCTCTTAATAAGATAATATAAATTAGCAATAGAATGTTGCTCACACTTGATAATACAATACAAGCAATTTGACTGAACTGGTTTCAATTTTTATCTCTAATCGCATTTGCTTCTTACGAATTAAATTGACTTATTGTTTCAATTACTGATTATATCTTGGTTTACTAATCGCAGTTGAGGCATATGTACAATAATTTTGCAAAAACATTGCATTGTGCGGAAGATACAATAAATATTACCAACTTTTTGTGTAACTATAAATTATATAATTTTAACTGTTTTCATATTTGTGTGACGCGTCGTTGTACACGGACGTGTGCTTTTTTTTTAAAAAAAAAAAAGAAAAAACGTTCAACAAAGATTTAGTGTATTGCTTCATCATGTTCCATGATGATTAACAACGCTGCATCTTTGCTAATTTGCGAATTAAACATTATGGACATGTGAGCTAACTATCCTTGTATCATTCTTGCTGAGGAAGACTCCAAAGAGAGTTGAAACGTTCAAAATAAAGAAGACATCAATTCAATTTTTGATTATTGATTGTTCATTAAATAATTGAGTCGTTTATTGATGCTGATTCTCATTAGCTTATTACAGTTATTCTTTTTTTGTTATTGTTTTAAAATTTAAAAGTTCTAATATAATTATTGTTATTGTTTAACTATTTTATCAAATTTGGATTTAATTTCTTTACACTGAAGATGACCTAACAATAAGGTCAAAACGTATGTTGTAAGAATTTAAAATACATAAAAATTTGATTTTTAGTTCTTTTTTGTTATTTATTGTATATTAATTTGCTAAATACAAAAAATAAAATTAACAAATAATTTATAATAAACTAATCATTTTTCAAAAGCTCTTTTTTCGTGCGTCGGTTTTAATAAATAAAATAAAAATCTAATCAGAAAATTTTTATTCGCATTTGTATTTATGTCATATGTCACGCGATAACCAGTTTAGAAATTGAAGTAGTGATAGTACTTGTTATACAAGTATCACATCTGACGACTGTCTCAATTTTACGTATAGAATCATGGAATATATTATGCAATGTTGCCACTCACATGTGTTCTCGAAAGAAAAGAAATAAAATTATCCGCATTAAGGAAGGATGCAAGACGTGATCATAATTAGGTCTAATTTAGGACAAAATTAGTTTGAAATTATCAAAATATTACCAATACTCGATCTCCTACTAGTCCATTTGATCAAATCAAACTATGACTTATTGGGCAAAATGCCTTCCATTATCTATTTAATATCATAAAATTATCTTTTCCCACTTATGTCAGATCGACATCGATTCTATGTTCATTAGATCCAGTAGACTTTCGGATCTATCTGGAGGTCAAATGAACGTAATTTCGATTAATTTTGTTGCTTGGGTGTAATACCTGTTATGGCCTTCTGTTTTGGTGACTAGCACGGTGTTATTTCCATAAAACAATTGTAATATGATTCTCGCACAGTGTCATTATTAAGAGCAGCACGATAATTAATATTATCGTATTGATCAGAATAACATTCTTCTTTTGCAAGAACGTACATCATAAGTACATTCACAACAACGATCAACGCGATATGACTTAATTAAATCATAGTTTTTATAACTTTGATACTTGAGACGTTAAATTACCAATGAATCGTACATATCAATATTTAATATGTTTATATAAATCTTATTCTAATAAAAAATAATTACATAACGTAAGCTTACACTCAAAATCTAAATAGGTAGAAAACTGTATGTGTATTTAAATAAAAAATTAGGAGCGTATAAATTATGTATGCTTTACACAGTATGACGTACAGAATACATTAAATTTTTTTAAATTCAATTAACGTATGCATATATCATATGTATGTATTTTTAAAATACAAAATATCTATTAATTTAAACTCGTAATTGCTTGCTTGATAATATTTGTTCTTTCAGTTGATATATTTCCCAAGGAGAAAAAAGGTCAATGTGATATCAAATTGAGATAAAAATACAATTCGTCAAAATAACGTTAAATTGAATAATTTTTTGATGCTTTCTTGACGTCATATCTTACATTGATATCATAATGACTTATTGTTCTGTTTAAGTATTTTGACGTTCTTTTGACTCTTTTCAGAGTTGATTAAAATTATAGGAGTGCACCGGATATCCGATTAGTATCTGGTTTCTGGCAATATATGCGGCTGAAATTTTATATTGAAATGATGTGCATTATGATGTGAAATCCTGAAAACGTTTATTATCATTGATATATTTTTTTTTAAATATCAATGATAAAAGTCTTAATGGTATTTATTGTACATCATGATGCATATCATTTCAATATAAAATTTTGGCCACATATATATTATCGGAAATCAAATGCCGGATACCTGATGCATCCTTAATTAAAATAGATATAGAGATATAAAGATAATAATTAAACATATTTGATTATTTATCATATATTTATAATGAATATATTAACTCTAAATTACGAATAATACGGGCCAATATACTTGTAAATGTCATTGCATAATAATATAATTACATATCAAACATAACTCATAAAATGAAGAACTAATCATAAAATAAAGAATCTAAAAGATATTAAAAATAGCTATATTGTTTTTTCATTGCAAAATTAATAGCTTATAATTACCGACCTTTTATCAATATTGTGATAATATGAACTGGAAACTAGTTAAACTAGAAAAAACAGTGTATGAAAGATATTGTGCAAACGATACTATAGGAAATCAATTTTTAGGCAAAAGAAACTATCTCAATATAGAATAAAATTTTTTTTATATGCGACTTTGTTTTTGAAAAAATTGAATTTGCATACACTGTTAAATCTGTAACGTCAAATTTAAATGATTTGAAAAATTTAGAATAGAATAGATCTTATTTTGTTGTTTATTTTCTCTTTTGATGCTT